AGGTTTAGAGAAGCCTTTCTGGGAGCAGCCCAGGAGATGTTACAGAGATGTCACAGCGCGACTGGGCTGTGGCTTGCAGCTGTCACCACACTGTATGTGTTCATGGTTCAATTTATTGTGAGATCCTCTCACAAATATTAATAATTTTATACTTTTATGACATACTTTATGCAGATACTAAGTGTGGTGTTCCAAGAAATAACTTTTGGCAGCAAAATAAGTCCATTCGTTGGTGTTTTTGAATTGTGATTTTTGTGTAATGCTGTTAAACTTGCTGGGTTAGATTTAAATGTTAGATTTTTCAAAAACTACTGGGTCATGTTTGCTGGGCTTTTATAATGTTTGGATATTTTCTATAGGCTCCAGTTCATTATGAAGATTACTAAACCGTATATTTCTTATTTATTAAAATACCTCATAAACCCACAATAATGAGTAAATAATTTCTGATGTTTCACATCCAAGTCCCCAAGATTCATATTTTTTGAGAAGTTAGAAACACTGCAATGAGTGAGGATATGAAAAGATGAGTGAGATTCCATTTTGAAACCTTGCCTAAGGCCAGTATTTTTCCTGGAGGAAAACAGTGGCCGCTAAGAGGCATGGTTCTTTCAGGGATGCAAAGTTATTTAGTAAATGTCAGTGGCTAACATTTGCCCTTGTTTTGACCTGTCTCCCATGTTCTCAATTTCATCAAGCATCGTCACTGTGCCTTTGTCATCATGACTGACAAATCAGCTCATATGCCTAAGGAGACTTCAGTAAATGTGGCAACCTGGGCTGCTGTGCGGTCATGGACTCCGAGGCCTTTTGACCTACTCTGAGGCCCACAGAGCCCAGGGCAAAACAGCAGAGTCTGTGACTTCCCATGCGTCAATGGCATGTTTCCCAGCCAAGCCCAGTTCAGATGGAACAAGATGTGATCGACCCATATCAAGTTATCAAAGTGCACTGATTGCTTTCCTGAGGAGAAGTTATTCCTCATCACCATATCAGAGATAATTGGGTCTGCACCGGATGCCTTTTGGTTCTGGGAGGCCGGAAAGCAAATATAGGGCATGGATGAAATCCATCGTACACACGCTCCTCACTTCGATCATGTCCTTTGAAGCCAGGACGAAGCCTACAAAAATCTCATTCTCTTATACTTTGGGGAGTGTGATCAGAGAAGGGGAGAATTAAAATTAATTTTAGATTAAACAGGCCATTCATCCTAATGTAAGAAACATTTTTGTATGTGGCTTCTAACATTGTGATTTATAATAAATATATATTTGCTCTTCGTCTCTGTTTCTGGCACAGAGCTCCTAAAACCCTTGGAATTTCTTAAGAGTGACAAAGGTGTTCGCTATTCGCAACAGACCCCTTTCAACCACACCTGAGTTTAGGTTAAGAAGGTGCCATTTGGAAAGCACCAAAAAACGGGGGGCTGGTTGCCAAGAAATCCAACTGTGTGATTGGAGGGCTAAAACTTTCAGTCCTAGTGCCCCGACCTCCCCCCGGGAGGGGAGAGGGGCTGGAGGTTGAATAAATCACTAATAGCCAATGATTTAATCAACTGTGCTTATATAATGAATCCCCATAAAACCCCAAAAGGAGGGGATTTGGAAAACTTCCAGGCTGGTGAACCAGAATGCTTCCATATGCCACTGTGCTGGGTTGCAAGCTCCATAAAGACAGAAATTTCTTTGCTTAGACTTTCATACTATGTATCTTCATCTGCTGTTGATTCATATCCTTTGTAATAAATTGGTAATTTATTACAAATTTACTAGTGAGTAAACTGGTTTCTTGATTTCTCTGAGTCACTCTAGCAAATTAACCAAACCCATGAAGGGGTTGTGGGAACCTTTGATTTATAGCCAGTCAGTCTGAAGCACAGGTAACAACCTGAATTTAGGATTGACTTCTGAAGTGGAGGGCAGTCATATGTGACTGAGCCTCTAACATACAGGATCTAATTCTCTCTCCAGGTAGACAGTGTTAGAATTGAGTTGAATTGTAGGATACCCAGCTGATGTCCAGGAATTTCTTGGTGGTGGGGGGAACCTATACAAACACATACACACACACTGGAATTGGGTGATCAGAATTCTTATGGCTGGAGGAGGGGAGAATTAAAATTAAATTTTAATTTTAAATTAAATGGACCACCCATTCTGATGTAACAAACATGCTCTGAGCTGCTAATTAGATATTCAGGTAGATGTATATGTAAATGTAGTTTATAGACATGTTGAAGTACATGAGGTGGTTGATGTAGATGCTGTATATGATGTAGATGTGCCGTCATGATATTGATGGAAATGCAAATGTGAATGCTATAGATCTAATTACAGATGCAGGTAGTAGAGTAGATGTCAGTATAGATGCAGATGTGCATGGCATAGTTGTAAAGATGAAGGTAGATGATGTGGATGATATTGATCAGTGTTTCTCAACTGCAGCACTATTGATAACGGGTTGGATAATTCTTCGTTGTCAGAGGCTGTCCTGTGCATTGCCCTAGATGCCTGTAGCACTCTTGCCACCCAAAGTTGTGACAATCAAAAATGTTTCTGGATGTTGTCAATGTCCCTTGGGTGAAAAGTTGGCTCATTTGAGAACCACCGATGTAGCCAATGTAGATATTAATGTACAGAGAAGCATAGGTATAGATGATGCAGACGGTGAATGTGAAAATGTAGGTGTGGATGACATGGATATAAATAAACATAGATGTAGGTAAAGTATATTGAAATATAGATGTGGATGATGTAAGAGTAGATACAAGTGACAAAGCTCTAAACATAGATATCGATGACATACTTGATATAGATAACACAGATGACATAACTGTCAGTTTTACAGTCTGGGAAGGAAACCGAAGGTGTTAATAATGCAGATAACATAGATTAGATATAGCTGATGAAGTAGATATTTATATAGATCAATATGGAAGTAATTTTCCTAACTTGAATTTAATTTCTTTGAAGGTGGGACCATGAGGTCTGTCCAGAAAGTATCCAGCCTGTGCTATGAAAAATAAAGACACTTTCTGAAGAAGATACAAAATACAAGAAATATTGCACATAGGACAATGATGCCTCATGCTCCTTCAAAGTAGGCACCTTGGGACCACACACAGTTCTCCCAGTCACCATCATGTGCCCCATCATATTTTCCTGAATCTCATCAACGATCTGAAATCTTTTCCCTTTCAAAGGTGATTTTAGTTTTGGGAAAAGCCAGAAGTCATAGGGTACCAAATCTGGGCTGTAGAGAAGCTGAGTCACCTGGGTGATTTAATGTTTTACCAAAAAACACTACATGAGATACTATGCATGAATGGGTGTGTTGTCCTGTTGAGGCTGCCAGTCAACAGTTGCCAATAGCTTCAGTCTTCTGAATCATCTGAATAATTTCTGTGGAGGAAGGTTCAAGCTTAACACAAAATTTGATGCAGATTTGTTGTTCTTCTTTCTCATTTTGAATGTGACAGCCACACAGTACACATGCTCATCTGTTCAACAGTGTCTACTGCCCTCACTGACTAGTACAGTGAAATCGTCACTGCTCACGCATGCGCATTCCAGTCCACTCTACTTGGCTGCCATGTTACATTGATGTCGTGCAAACCATTCTTGCTATATTAACAATGGTTAGACTTTTTCTGGACAGATCTTATAAAAGTGAATTTAATTATTGAAAAAGTTATATTACACCTAGCCAGGTTCCTTGGTTTATCAGTATCATCTTGATAAACCAAGGTTGTGAGTCTGATCCCTGATCAAGACACCTAAAAGAATCAACCAAGAATGCATCAATAAGTGGAACATAAATCTCTCTCTTTCCCCAATACATTTTTAAAAAAGAAAGAAAAATAATAACAGTTCAGGTGACATATAGATATGTCAAAAATTATAAAACTGGTGTACTGGGTAATGACTGGAATTCAGAATACAATGGGATACATAAGCTATTCTACTTTGTACTCTCCCACCATCTCTCTCCAATACTGCAAGAAACTTTCATCAGGTGAGCCCACATCTATTTTTTACCTCTCTTTACCTTGCAGCCATACTGCAAATCTTTTTAAGAAGCAAAACATACATGAACAGCCAGAAAACTAAAGAGAAGGGTGTAGTCTTATCAGATATGAAAATATTTTGACTTTATAGTAATTAAAGCAATACAAAAATAGACAAATCAAAGAAAAAGAGTTTAGTTCATAAATAGACATGAATGCACATGGACACTAAGTACATAATGAAGGTAGCATTTCTAATGCATAATGAAAAGGTAAAGTATTTAGCAAATGCTCTTAAAGTAACTGGCTCCCCACACTGGGGTAGAAGACAATAATAAAACAAGCTCATCTCACTCCTGATATCAAAATAAACTCTAGATGCTTGGGGGTCACAAAGGATGATGTGGTGGTGACTGGGGTGGTGCTTAGACTGGGTGGTCTGAGAAAGACTGAAGAAGTGGCATTTGAGCTGAGAGCTGCAGGAGTCATAAGAAGCAGCCGTGCAAAGGCTGGAGAGTCCAGAAGAGGCTTGGGCATGAGTAAAGTTAGTGCGAAACTCAGCCTGAAGTGAACTCGAACTGACTGGACAGAAGGAAGTCCTGTGTTTGGAGCATAGTATGCAGAGGGCAGAGTAGTAGATGAGTTTCAGGAGCAGGCTAGGGTCTTTCAAGCCAGGATGAGGAATTGAATTTTATTCTAAAGACAATGGGAAATGTTTTCTGGATTTTAAGCAGGAGAATAAGATATTCATGGAAATCAAGTATGTGTTGAGGGTAACATTTCAAAAATAATCATGAAAGTTGAATTCCTAAATAATAAATGGTGAGATTCCCCACTTCACACTATGCACAAAAACAGATTCCAGATGGATTAAAGATCTAAATATAAAAAATAAGGCCATAAAAGTTGCAGAGGACACTACTGGTGTTTTTATAATCTTTTCCTGTCTATTCTCATTCTCTCAGGTCACTGTGCAATGGCCGTTTCTCCTGTCTTCTCCATGGGAACATCACTTTCCCTTTGTGTCAGAGAACTCAATGTTCATGAGCAAGTTTATCTGCAGAGGAAGGACATGTATGGTGATTTGAATGACAGCCCCTTTGGGAGAAATGACTTTTTCTCCCAGAAGCTTGTGGACCAGTCAGGCATGTTTGCCTGTTTGCAACCCACTGACCTTATTCTCTCGTTGCTTTTTGAGAAGTATTGGTCTGAGCAAACCATTCTTTCACCTGCATTTTTCTTTCTCTTTCCACTGCTGTCACTGGCTCCAAAGTTTCATCTCCTGAAAGCCCTCCTCAGGGCTCTCCCTGCTGCCAGCCTCTCTCACACTCTGTTACTACCATATTGGTCTTCCCAAATCCAGTCAGTCGTGGATCTCATCCAATCCTCCACAGAAATCTCCTAAACTTAACACCCACGGGGTGAAGTACAAACCCAGTCATGCTCTTCTAACCTGGCTGTTCCACCGTCTTCTCAGTCCACAAACTTTATATCCAAGCCCTATGGCGTTGAAAACATCCCATCCTTTCTCCAGCACCAATGGTTCTACCCAACTACTCACTTATTCTTTAACCCTACACAGCAGGACCATCCTCTAACTATTAACGTGTCCATCTGTCTTCCCACAATAGACAGAAAGTTCTTGAAGACCAGAGAGCTTACCTCACCTAGGCTGGGCACAGAACAGTGCTGGGTAAATACAGATCCTGAACTTGTTCTGTAGCCATGTGTCCTGTTTAGCCTCCTGGTGGAGCCAGCTTGACAAGTTCTTTCCCTTTTCTCTACCTGAAACCATGAATTTTAAACCAGGAAGAAGGGAAGGGGGTGGAGGTGGGTTTGTACCTTCTGAGGAACGTCATGGCAGAAGGAAGAGTCCAGCTGCAGGTGTCAGAGGCAACAACACTGCTGTTAACAAGTGGGATGTTCAGTGAGGCTCATATAATTCCTCTGGGCCTCATTTCCTCCTACAAAATGAGGACATTAGCAAAGCTCCAAGTCCGCCTCAGGCTCAAACATTCTGTACAAACCTCCATGAGGGCAGATTCAGGAAACTGATTTTCCAATCAACTGAGCTGTGTGGCATTATTGCATGGAGAATTAAACTACTGTTCATCACAGTTCATTTCCTGAGTTTAGCCTATCAGCCAGTGTTTATTAAGCATCATTTACTCTGCAGTACCATAGATTAAATGCTCTGGAGACATGGAAGTGGTATCTCACAGGATCCTTGGCCTCAAGGAGTTTATTATATAATCAGAATTTATTACGTAATAAAAGCTCACGATCCAGCAAATTACTGTTTGTTTACCTAAGACTTCTTCTGTAAAATAGTTTTACTTGAACCATTACATAAAATCTCTGTATGAACTGTGTTTCTATGTGTCATTTCTATATTATTTTATTTGAAAAACACAGATATACTGTATGTTCAGATATAAATATATGCATTGAAAAGGTATATACTTAAAATATCTCCATGGACAGGCTGAGGGTTTTTTAACTTGATAAACCAAAGGATGTAGTTTTTTGGTTAATAATTTTTTTAAGTATATCTTATCAATTATGCTATTACAGTTGTCCCAATTTTTCTCCCTTTGACCCCCTACTCCCTCAGGCAATCCCCACACCATTGTTCATGTCCATATGTCATGCACCCAAGTTCTTTGGCTACTCTCTTTCCCATGCTGCATTTTACATTCCCATGGATATTTTGTGATTACTTATTTGTATTTGCACTTTTTAATCCCCTCACCTCTTCACCCATTCCCCCACAACCCCTTCCCATCTGGCAAGTATCAAAGTGTTCTCCATATCCATGATTATCTCTGTTCTTATCTGTTTAGTTTGTTCTTTAGATTCAACTGTTGATTAATACATATTTATTGCCATTTTAATGCTCATAGTTTTTATCTTTTTCTTAAATAAATCCCTTTAACATTTCATTTAATAATGGTTTGGTGATGATGAACACTTTTAGTTTTTTCTTGTCTAGGAAGCTGTTCACCTGACCTTTGATTCTAAATGACAGCTTTGCTGGGTAGAGCAATCTTGGCTATAGGTCCCCGCTTTTCATGACTTTGAATATTTCTTGCCAATGCCTTCTAGTCTGCAAAGTTTCTTTTGAGAAATCAGCTGACAATATTATAGAGACTCTCCTGTAGGTAACTAACTGCTTTTCTCTTGCTGCTTTTAAGATTCTCTTTGTCTTTTACCTTTGGCACTTTAGTTATAATGTGTCCTAGTGTGGGCCTCTTTGCGTCCATCTTATTTGGGAATCTCTGCTTCCTGGACTTGCATGTCTATTTCCTTCATCAAATCAGGGAAGTTTTCTTTCATTATTTTTTCAAATAGATTTCCAATTTCTTTCTCTTTCTCAGGATGTATATTTAAAAACTTTCATAAAAGTAGAGAATTGTGATACCTGCCCATCACCCAGCTTCAATAGCCATCAACTTTCTACTATTTTTTTCATCATTCCGCCCCACCTCTTGATTTTGTGTGTGTGCTAAATCATTGCTTGTTAAGTTATCAGAAGCAAAAGACTTGTATTTAACTTCCAATCAGTTATGGACCAATGTCAGCACACAACTAACAGTAGGCCACTCACAACTCACACCATACAAGTTCAATAATGCCCAGGAAATTAGTTAAAAATATACATGGGACTTGCTTTGAAATACATTAACAGGTAAGATTGATTGGTTGGTGGATCAATGGATAGACGAGAGAATAAAAGAGTAGTGTTAATGACAAAATCTAAGTAGTGGGTATACGGGGCTTATTTGTACTCATATACACATCATCCAGGGCAATTTGTAAGTATTCATTAATGATCCATTGATTGTTTAATTAATTCTACCACTTAAGAGCCAATAAAGTTATCTTTCATATTCAAGTATGTTTTCTATTAATAAAAGAAATTGTGTTAGGAAAGTCTGCGGTAATTTAAAACTCCAACTTATAAATGTATGTGGGTAGATATTTAATGCACTTGAAACTTATCCTGCATAGACATGTAAAAAAATAGACTAATGAAGTGAATACCAGTTATGCAAAATTAAACCAAGGTAGCAGTTCTTTTCTCTGGAGTTCTGATGTTACTGCAAGCAAATCCATCCTCCCAAGATCTCTGATTGGGCCACAGGTGGTATTATAGGCCAGTAGAACCTTCACAGGATGATAAAATGTCAGTGAGGTGATCTGTAGGGCAGAATTACACAATAATGCCAAAGGCCAGAGCCTCAATATCCTTACCCCTTAGTCTTTATTAAAGGTAAACAGAGGTAAATGGGAAATGCCATCCTGATCCCAGGAATATCTGATTAAGCACGAGATTGCAGGGAATCAAATGTCTTGTACTGACCTGTCACAAGCACTTACTCAGATACAAACAAGAACACACCACACTCTTTTTTTTCCCATCAGGTGATCTGGGCTTTTAGGCTTAGAAATTCTCTGCTTTCAGAGCCTAAGCACCAGCTCAGAGCCCACAGCACTGATGTTAATAAAGTTTACAAAATTACTGATACTAAAATGTCACTGCCAAATAGAAGCTGCTGCTTCCGGACATGGAGATTTAAATAGCTTGTGTCTTTTGTCCTTTTAAAAACAGTATATAATAATCCAGTTTCTTTCTGTTGGTAGCCATGGAAACTAACATCCAATATTTCAGTGACTGTATAATACTAAGACTACAGCATTCTTTCAAGGGCATCTATTAATTTGCTTCACATTAAAAACCAATAAAACTATTGACGTTAAAATTCAATCTGTAGATTTTCAATTATAAGCTCCACTGCTTTCACGACTCTTTGGGGGCCAGTTGAACAGGCGAGGCCCATGGTGAAAGATTGCTGGTCAGAGGGAAATCTGGAGGTTTACTTCTCAAGTGTCTCTCAGAGGTCTGTTCATTTCCTGTTTCCTACTATATAGGTTCCTTTCCAGTGGTGCCTCTGCACTTCAATGTGGAACTGTTTCTTACGTCTGTTGTTCCCAGAACTGGAAGCCTTAGTATGTAATTCCTGACCTTTAAAAGGCTTCTCTCTCTATCCAAGACTCCCCAAGAGTCCTGTCTGTAAGGGCACATTCACTCAGAACGTACCTGTTTAAACTGATCTACTTGCATAATCCAGTTTCTGGAAAGCCTAGGGGGGTCTTATGCCAATTAGATTTTACCTAAAGTTTCTCCAAATTGGTTCTCCCATGTTGCCAGCTTCTTTCTCTTGTTGTCCCCCCCCAAAACAAGGGATATAACCCTTTGCTGTCAATGCAGTTTGTTTGGAGAACTGTCAAGGTAGGGATTAGTGTGAGGCCTCCAATAACAGTTTCAGGGAGTATGGTGCCAGGTGATGGCATCTACCAACTGAGTCTCCAGTGGGCATTCAGGACACCACCAGGAAGCAGAGCATCTGCCAGCACAAGCCCGTACTGGCAAATTACAGCCACAAGGAATATAGTCAATAATATTGTCTGATGTCAGATGGGTTCCGAACTTACTGAGGGATCACTTCAGAACGTACATACATGTCTAATCACTATGTTGTACACCTGAAACTCCACCTAACCTATTGTGACCAAGTTTATGTATACTTTAATGGGTAGAGACAAGAGACTTTCTTTTATTTCTTTCTTTAATTTGGGAATCTTAGCTGTTATTTTAGAAGATCCAAATATCCTTCTACTTTCAATTAGTCTTATAAAATAGGCTTTTCTGGATTTGGAGAGGCAAGGATATGACTAAGATGTGATGCACTGTTTTGGAAACGCATTTAAATCTTTGTATTATTCTGGGACATACGATCCATGGCTGCAGTTTTACAATGTGGTATAATTCTTGTACTTGATAGCACAGAGCTTATTCCCTTCAAAAAATTCATCTGATGGAAGCCTGTTCTCTTACGTCAGGTTCTCTCCAAGGTGGACTCCCAGTCAAGAATTCAGATACAAGACTAAGACACAAGACAAGATTAAGAAAAAGCTCCTAGGGAGGGGGAGGACAGCTTAATTAAGAGCAAAGCTCTGGAAAGTTAGTAATGCCTCAGAGCACTTCCTTCCTTGAGACAAGGAAGCTGGGCTTCTGGACTCCCAAACCAGTCACGGGCCTCTGGCCAAGGGGAATGGTAGGTGGAGGTGTGGCCACAGGGGCTAGAAAATTCCCAGACACTGATGGCTCTTTCTATGGGCTGAACAGCCTCCAGTATGTGGTCACAAATGCCAGATGTTGACTGCAGGGCACTTGACCAGGGCTGGCCACACAGAACTGGGCCAGAGAGACCTGAGGGGATGTGGGTGGTACACTAATAGCATCGCCACAGGGCTGCCCCCACATCCACTCGGCCTGTTCTCACCACCAGGCACCAGTCATAGGTCTTTCAACACATTCTGCTGTAAGAGGAAATGAATAATATCTTTGGAAAGTCCTGGGGTTGGCTTTTTGTCCTCCAGCGACACACTTTCTTCATCCAGTGGGTAGAAGCGGGTGTCCCTGGAATGCCTCTGTAACACTGAGCAGCCATCCCGGTTGAGAATGACCCGGGCCATTTGAAAACTGCGGAGGGCATACTTTTGGTTCTCCTGGTCCTTCAGTTCATTGATTTTCTGAGACAGGCACTGGCAGACAGATGCAGAGAGTGGATTTCCAGAGGCTGGCTGTGGATGGCCGAACATTTCATAGAATGTATCCAGAGATTTCCGAAGCTCATCATCCTCTGCATTGGTCTCCGGTTGGCCTTTTGCAGAAGGGTCAAGCCAGAAGTTCTCAGAGGTCCAAGAATCATTTTGGATAGTATTTAGGTTACTGGTGTCTGTAAGACAAACATATCCCAATAATCAAACACATATTCAGAAATACCAGAAAGCCAGCCAAGAGCAGATACTGTCTCTTTTTCACTCAACACACTTACTGCTCTTGGGTAATAGGCAATGGGCAGAATCAGATGGTTTCAGAATCTGTTCCCACCATCCTAGGGTTATGTCCCTTGTTCACCCAAAACAAGAACATCTTACTTGCATGTTTCAAGAGTTCTTAACCTAGGGTCCTTGTAAAGAAGTTCAGGGTAGCTGTGAACTTGGATGGGAAAAATTTTATATCTTTATTTTTACTAACCTCTACCTAAAATTGAGCACTTCCTCCCATGATGAATGTGGTAGTAAACCCATTAGCAGCAATACCTGTGACTTTCTCAGCAGCAGATCACAGCTATTTTCATATCACATTATAGTTTATTGAAGATGTTTTGAAATATCATTTATGCCCATCACTATGCTATGGACGGAACTGTGTTTCTCCAAAATTCATGTGAAAGCCCTAATCCTTAAAGGAGATGGGGCTTTTAGGAAGTTACTGAGGTTAAATGAGGTGATAAAGGTGCGGCCTCTATCTGATTAGACAGACAGACAGGAAGCTACCTCTCTCTCTCCTCGTGCAGGAAACAGGAAAAGCCATGTGAGGACACAGCAAGGCAGCCTTCTGCAAACCAGGAAGAGAGTCCTCACCAGAACCTGACCATGCTGGCAGCCTGATCTTGGACTTTCAGCCTCCAGTATTGTGAGAAAATAAACTTCTTTTGTTTAAGCCATCCACTTTATGGTATTTTGTTATGGCAGCCCAAGTAGACTAAGACAACTACCATGAAATTACCAAACTTATTAGTCCTGACGCTTGATCTTATTATTTAAGTGTTAATTTAAAAAACATATATTCATTATAATATCACACATTTGTTCTTAAAGTATTTTAATAACTACATTTCAATTTTTCCCTTGCTAATCCTAGGTATTTTACTTTATACAGTTAAAAACTTTACTCTGGGAAGGGTTGATACGCTTCACCAGATGCCAAAGGGATCTTATTGTACAAACTCAGCAGAGATCCCTAATGCAGAAAGTTCTGGGCATTTACACAGTTCAGATATTTCTTTCTCTGCTCCCTGCAATAATTCTATAGACTCTTTATCTCTAAATTAAAATCACCACCTTTGTGTTTTTAAAGGAAGGGTAACAAATAAACTAAGTGAGTTAATAATACACAGCAAGAGACCAGAATTGGAGCCAAATCCTAGTTCTTTTTTTTTAAACATTTTATTTATTTTATTTTTTAGAGAAGGAAAGGGAGAAAGAGAGGGAGAGAAACATCAATGTGTCATTGCTTCTAGTGAGCCCCCTATGGGGAATCTGGCTGGCAATCCAGGCATATGCCCTAAACTAGGAATCAAACCAGCATCCCTTTCATTTGCAGGTCAGCACTCAACCACTGAACCACACTAGCTAGGGCCAAATCCTAGTTCTTGATTTAACTTCCTGTAACTCTCTGGGCACCCTAATTCTTAACATAGGAATCTCTTAAGTCTTTGAAACAAAGAACTTCCTTATCATTGTGTTCTAGAAAAGATTTTACATAAATAATTTATATAAGTTGCTAAATTACTTATATAGCCACCAGTTTTAGGCTTTAATCTTTTATATTTTAAATCAAAATAGTATATGTTCCTTGTTTTGCTCTTATATAAGCTGCAATTAATTACTAGCTTTAATTCTACACACCCCCGCTAACTCAATTAGTAGTCATAATAAAAGTATCTGTACTTGCTAATAATGAAGAAAGTTGTGTGATTCAGTGGTTGGAGTTTTAGAAAGGAGCTGAAACTGGGAGTTTGACTCTAGCTTTGCTACCAGCTAGAGATTTCTCCTTGAATGAGCCAGACCACCTTTCTGAGCTTTTGTTTTTTCATCTACAAATAATCTCTCTTCTAGAATTTCTATGGTCACATAGGGAACAGGAAAGTAAATGATCCAAAGCATTAGAGCATCCAAAAAGAATGTGGACACATGTTCTGGGAGATACACACAGATGCACACAAGGACAAGCACTCATTGACTCAGCACACAATTAGCCCAATAGCAAAGCACTTATTCCACCTTGAAGGCAGGGACAGAAAAGTGCAAGATGAGCCTGGAACACCTTACTGTTGTAGAATGCTCACAGAATGATGGATGGCAGCATGTTGGGGGAGAAGGTTAGAGGCTAGCTCAAAAGGGTTTCTCCTGGCCAAATCTGGAACAACTTCAGCATCAAAATAAATAATGAGAGCAACAGATCAGAACCATTAAAACAGCTTGATGAAGAACAGGATATTTACAAGTCTCAGAGTACTTCCCCATAAAATACTTACTAGCTGCAAAGGGTAAAAAGAGTAATGTTGATAGTGAAGAAGCCTGGAAAATACCTCAATCACGTGATCTAGGTGAGCAACACCATAATGGGATAAAACAGAATCAGGTGCCACCTGACCAGACGCAACAGGAAGACCCATCATCTCTTCTCTAACAGTCCTGCCAAAGGACTCAACCCAACTAAAAGAAAGTGTCAGACAAAACCAAACTGAGCGACATTCTATAAAATGGCCTCTACTTTTCACAAGTGCCAAGGTCATGAAAACCATGAAACACTGAGCAACTGTTCGTGACTGAACTAGATTAAAGAGACATGACAAGTAAACGCAACACATGATTTTCAACTGCATCTCTTGCTATAAAGAACGTTTGGGGGGCCATTTGAATGGGGGCTGGGGATTAGATGGCAGTAATGTCATCACTGTTAATGTCCTGATTTTGATGGTTGCAACGGGCTTATGTAGAAGGGTGTCCTTGCTTGTAGCAAAATCAAGGGTGGTGGGCATCAGGTTGGCAACTTATTCTCAAATAATGCATGAAAAGGAAGTTATTTGTATTATACTTGCAGGTTTTCTATGATTTTGAAATCATTTTAAGGAAGAAATTAAAACAAGCCTCTGCAGGAATAATCCTAAAAACTTAAACCAAAAAGCCTTAACTCAGGCCTTAGCAAACAGTTCTTGCCTAACAAATGGCACTGCTGTTAGAGAGCCAAAGGGAGAAGAGAAGGGGTCTTGCACTGGCAGAATGAGGGGTCCTTTCCTACCTTCTTCCCCACACATGCTGGGGTCCTGGGGTGGTCAGGCCTGAGCCAGGTCATGGGAACAATGAAGAGAGAAGGGAGACGCTCAGCAGTAACACTGGGAAAGTTGGAGATTTTCTGAACCTGCCCAGACAAGACAACCATTTACACAGGACATTCCAAGTAGCATAGCACGTACTTATTAAGTAACCGATCAATAATTCTGATATACAGGATTTTAAGTTTCCATCTGAGTTTCATATCTATATTTAATTTTTGAAATTAGTGTCCTAAATTCAGTGTCCAGAAGCCAGAAAATTAGCCTGTCTTCTGTACTTTTTCATGCAAATGTAAAGCAGACTGCAACTCATCTTCAAAGAATCCCTCCTCTTCCCCTTTCCAAAGAGCAATAACAATATGGGTTGAGTCATTCGTCACTTCTTTTGAACACTGCCTCCAGTTCATTTCAGTCTTTGACTTCCTTTTAAAATTTGCTTTACGAACAACTACAAAGCCATCTCTTTAATCATGTGGCTGGCGTGGCATTTTGAACAACACTGTCTCTTCACCAGCAAGTGAAGCTAATTGCTTTTTTTTTTTTTTGTCCTGATGCACCTAAATGTGGACGGAAGGATGGATCTTTGATAACTGGCTCCGCTCCTGCTCAGTGGTGCATCCTCACAGGTATATTCAAGCCCCACCTTCTACCTCTTAATAGAGCCCAGACTTGTAAGGCTCTCAGCTTGGGACTGTAATGTCTACTCTAGGGAGACACTGGGGATGTTTTTTTATTTCAGTGATTGAAAAGGGCTACTTGCATTTAATGGCTAGGGTCAAAGATGTAAACATTCTACAGCGCAGAGTAGCACTTTTCAATCAGTGTGCTGCAAGAATTTCTAAAGCATGGAATCCCTGATTATTTACCCACGGGCACTGATGTCTTTCCCCCTAGGTTGGCAAATAAAAAAATGACAACAGAGCTAGCACAACAATAGCCACCCGGTGTGAATGAATCAAAATTTTATCTATTTTTTGTTAGACTGGCAAAAGGCAAAAAATATATTTATTGGTGTGCCACAGAATTTTAGTAATTACTTTGTGTGTGTCATGAGATGACAAAAGTTGAAAATCACAGATGTAGAGGATAGTTCTATACAACAAAGAATCATCCTTCCCCCAAATTTCAGTAGTGTCCCTCACTCTCTCAGGAACTCTGGCTCAAAGGATGGATTCTGGAGGGAGTGGGAAGTGAGTGCTGAATCCCACCAAAAGGTGATTTGCCCTGAGCTCCCCCTTGCACAAAAGGGCTTCTTGCTGGTACCCATTTGCACTATGCATTTCTCCCTTCTCACACTATGAGATCTTTTTTTTTTTTTTTTTTTTTTACCCTAAGCAAAGGGCCCAAGTATCATTCCTAATTCTGGCATTATTTAAATTGGATGGAACCTCCTTTTTTACTTCAATAGGCTTTCCATCATGAATACAGTCTCTTGAAAAGTTGAATGACTAGAAAAGGAGGGCGGGGCTTCCTAAGGCTCCTTTTGCAGTGTTACTGCAAGGTCACCATCTCCCAGAGCATCTGTTTGCTAACTTTTCTTTTGACCAAAGAGAGAAAACATACAGCTATTTGAGATTCTTATAAACCTATTCTATATTTAGGAGTTATAGATGCTAATTTGAGTTCAGTCATCTGAGACGGTCAATTAGCATGGAGCATTTGAGATTCGTGGTTGTGTTCTATGCGAGATGCCATTAGCCTTTGGAAACCCAGATGTTTAATGGGGGTTTCTTCCAGAGAATCTTCATGGCCACTTCTGTGGTTGATAAATGCACAGCAGGATTTTATTTCTGTGAAACACTGTAGCTTTCAACTTTAACAAGTTTCCTCTAAATGGATTTGATATTTAGAATTCTGTCTCCTCCTTGCATTAGCATCAATCACTGCCTACTCTGTCTTATTTGTCCAGTTTCTTTTACTAACAACTGTTAATGGGAAGGATCTGTGGTTTCAAGGTTGTACAGAGTGGAAAGAAATCTATGACTTAATTTAAAAATATGGAGAATTATCAGGATTTAAGGAATACGTGGCTTATATAGTCTCCTTCTATGTGGCTCAGAGGAGAAGCTGCCCCTTTCTCTGGGCACTGCCCAGCACACTGATAAGACAAATCCTGCTGCCTTAGCCTGTCTGTTAAGAGTCTGTCTGGGTTCTCTGCGGCTCTAAGAAAAACTCATGGGCATGAGAACAACAACGTGAATTGTAGGGAGATGTCCTGATTATCAATGGTCACATTAGCACTCTTTGGCTGCAATGACTCATCTCCTTTATGACAGCAGTCAGACTTCAGAGGCCTCACACCTTCTCTACATGGGTGACACTACCATTTTTAGCCTATGAGGGGCTCTGGTCCATGGATCTGGGGGGTCCTGCTCTCCTAGTCAGCATCTTCCTGTTCCAGATCTCACTTTTCCTTCATCTTCTCTTCTATTTCCCTCACTCCTGCTTTTTCCCACTTCATAAGAGTGAACAAGATCAACAAGACCAAACCCTATTTCTAGCCTTATAGGCTATGTGAAAGTCTGACCGGTGCTCACACCTCTGCATCATTGCCTTGAAAGATCCGACTTCTTTCTGATCCTTGAATGCATCAACCAAGCTCCCTCTTTGGAACCTTCGCACTTGCTGTTTCTCTGAGTGGAACATGCTTTCTCCACATATCTTCATGATTGGTTCCCTCATTTCCTTTAGGTTTCTGCTTACATGTTACCTTCTCAATAAGACCTTCTGTATCTGTCAGAATGGGCTAGGTTATGCTACATAACAAGCAAGCCCCAAATCTCAGGGGCATAAAAAAACCAAAGCTTTTTCTCCCATCTCCAGCTCCATGTTATACTATGGGTAGATCTGTATCATCCTTGTCCTTACCCTGGAACCCAGGCTGACGGGGCAGCCATGGTCTCAGAATTGCTTAGTGACTACAACAGAGGGGAAAGAGCGTGGTGAAGCAAGCAGTGACTGAAAAAACTCTGTCACTATGCTCACACGTCACTGACTGACATTAAATCAAATGACCTAAATGAGAAAAATCCTTTGAAAAATTCTCTTAGAGGGAGAAGCAGAGAATAATAGTGAATAATAATTCAATCTACCACAGCTTCCCTGAGCATACTATTTTAAATTACATTTTCCTCACTCCCCTAAAGCCCTGGCTGTCCCTATCTCTCTTAGCTGACTTATATTTCTTTATAAAACTAACGGCATCTAATAATATATATGATTTGTTTATTTATTATCCATCTTCTACTCAAGGATTTTTGTCTCTCTTATTACCTGTTATACCCCCAGGGTCTAAAACAGTGCCTAAGAACATGGTGGATATATTCTTTAAATTCTGATGCTTTGTTTTATTGATGAGTTTCATTTCAAAGGCATAATAAATCTGTAATAGATGAAGACCTCCTATTGTACATTTAATAAATCCATAGTCCCATGCACTGAGTACATTTGTGGAATACATAAATGAGTGAATGAAATCAATATTAATACACTTTTGAATGAGACATGTAAGAAACAAAACTATTAGTAGCCAAATACATATCAATTCTCAACACCCACGCTACTCAGGGATATTCCTAAAGACTGACAAGGCTTAAAGGTTTTTTTAAGGACACTTGAAAAAACTTTATGATAGCAATAAAGAGCAAGGAGTTGCACACAGTGTAAAGAAAAGTGACTTGAGGAACAACCATCCATCTAGACCCGTCCTGTTCATGCAGAAGCCACTAGCCACATGTTGCTGTTGAGCACTTGAAAAGTAGTCTGAATGAAGACAGAGCTATAAAATTACACCACATTGCCAAGACTTTTTATGAAAAAATAATATATATATATCTCACTAATAATTTAAAAATAATGACTACAGGTTGAAATGATAAATGTTGGATATATCAGTTAAATAAAACAAATTATTAAAATTAAGAGTTTATGTTTTTAAATACCAGAAGCTTTAAATAAGGCTCACATATTTCTATTGGACTGCAGCTGGTCTAGACCTTTATAATTGTGATTTAAGAAAGCTTTGGCTCCACAGTTGTCTTCCTGAAGGTTTGTGGTGAAATCTTGGAGATCAAACGACATTCAAAAGGCAACTAGGATAAAGATTTGCTATACTGAGGTGTCCCACACAGGTTAGAGAAGCATGAGCTCTCCATACCTGCTGGTCAGTGCTGTGTTGTCCTGCCTTTGTCCGCTGGCCCTGGGCACCCCTCCTGCAAGGGAGTAAGAACCAGCCTTCTAAAGCGGCCCAGTTGTCTCTACCCTCTAAATAATTATAAACCATCTACTATGCAAGACGGCCACGGTCTAGGAGGCAAAAGTTGAGTAAAGCTGGGATGGCGGGTAATGCTGGGACTGGCAGGATGAGTCATTCCCAGACGGCTGAAGCAGAGAGGAAAAGCTACACAGTGGGGAAGGCAGGGACGCAATCCAGGGGCTGAGAATTCTTACAAGAGAGGAGAGGCTGGGTTAGGCAGTGGGGGACTTGGGTGTCTCCCAGAGAAGCCAGGCAAACCCTTCTGGAAATTTCCAGCCTTGGTCATTCCTTACTGTAAATATACACTATCACTAGGGTGACTAATATGCACTAGCGTGACTGGGAGGTTTGCCAAGAAAAGCCGGGTTTATGCCTATTGTCCCAATTAAGTATTAACAGTACCGGGGAGCACTGAGATCTGGCTTCCCACCATGTTATCCATTTGGCTCATAAACTCTTATAAAATTCTCTAAAAAATATTAATAGCACTCTCTTTCACTCTGTGTCGCAGGCTTCATTATGTGTACACATGTATCATGATTATATTACATATATAATCTGATGCTGTAGGAGCAGGGCAGATATGCCTGGGTCAACAGTGAGGACTTCCAACTCCATAGCCCTGAGTCCAGAAGGCTTAGGTTTTTTGTTTTTTTTTAAGATTAAAAAAAAATATTTTTAGAGAAGAGAAAGGAGGGGGGAAGGAAAGGAGAGAAACATCAGTGTGTGGTTGCCCCTGAAGCACCCCCCACTGGGGACCTGGCCCACAACCCAGGCATGTGCCCTGACTAGGAATGGAACTGGCAAC